AAGGCAAGCGACTCGAATCCTTTCACTACGAATACAAATCTACCTCAAACGGACACAAAGCCATGAAATAATTCAAGAAACTTTGTCCCGACGCGACACTCAACTCCTTCAACTTGCTTCAAGTGATCATCAAGGCAGACGCAGTCGATCAGCGTGCAAGATCGCGATCTCCCAACCCCCGCGGCTCCTTCGTGATCTAGTCACAAGCGATCTTTATGCTTGCTTGCTGTGTTCGTTTATCAATCTTGCGAGTTCGTTCGTTCGTTTTCAAATTTTTCGAACGAATGTTCGAACTTTCGTTCGTTCGTTTCACCCCTAGTACACTGTAGTGGGTACAATGGTAGTACTGTAGTACACTGTAGTGGGTACAACGATAGTACTGTAGTACACTGTACTGCCTTTTTCACTCTGCTGCTTTCCTGCTGCACTGGATTTCATGCCCCACGGGCTCAAGCGGAGTGCGTGAGCAATGTGTTGTACTTTGCACATCCGGTCCCATGTGTCTAGCTAAGTTACACCGAGCATGCATCAACAGCTATGTGATATGTTTAAAGGTGAGTATGACTGATACATACGGGTGGGATTGTTTGTATCACTCTATTGTTATAGCTGCAGCCAGTGAAATCCAACCACCTTTCTAGTGTAACATCCACACCACATCCAGTCCCAAGTGTAGCATCCACACCACATCCAGCACCAAGTGTAGCAATCACACCACATCCAGTCCCAAGTGTAGCATCCACACCACATCCAGCACCTAGTGTAGCAATCACACCACATCCAGTCCCAAGTGTAGCATCCACACCACATCCAGTCCCAAGTGTAGCATCCACACCACATCCAGTCCCAAGTGTAACATCCACACCACATCCAGTCCCAAGTGTAGCATCCACACCACATCCAGCACCAAGTGTAGCATCCACACCACATCCAGTCCCAAGTGTAGCATCCACACCACATCCAGCACCAAGTGTAGCAATCACACCACATCCAGTCCCAAGTGTAGCAATCACACCACATCCAGTCCCAAGTGTAACATCCACACAACATCCAGTCCCAAGTGTAGCAATCACACCACATCCAGCACCAAGTGTAGCAATCACACCACATCCAGCACCTAGTGTAGCATCCACACCACATCCGGTCCCAAGTGTAGCAATCACACCACATCCAGTCCCAAGTGTAGCAATCACACCACATCCAGCACCAAGTGTAGCATCCACACCACATCCAGTCCCAAGTGTAGCAATCACACCACATCCAGTCCCAAGTGTAACATCCAACCACATCCAGTCCCAAGTGTAGCAATCACACCACATCCAGTCCCAAGTGTAGCAATCACACCACATCCAGTCCCAAGTGTAACATCCAACCACATCCAGTCCCAAGTGTAGCAATCACACCACATCCAGTCCCAAGTGTAGCAATCACACCACATCCAGTCCCAAGTGTAGCAATCACACCACATCCAGTCCCAAGTGTAGCAATCACACCAGATCCAGTCCCAAGTGTAGCAATCACACCACATCCAGTCCCAAGTGTAACATCCAACCACATCCAGTCCCAAGTGTAGCAATCACACCAGATCCAGTCCCAAGTGTAGCAATCACACCACATCCAGTCCCAAGTGTAACATCCAACCACATCCAGTCCCAAGTGTAGCAATCACACCACATCCAGCACCAAGTGTAGCATCAAGCTTCATGACTGACCAGATACTGGTCTAGTCAATCCACTGGTGCTGCACTTGTCCACGTGGATGAATTTCACTGGGTTGGGTTTTTTGGGGTTCAGCTGGCCAAGGTCGCAATCACAACAGAAAGCTTCATTGACATTATAATTATGATGTACTTCGAAGTAGAACTTCCGACTTCAGGGTTGGACGTGCATCATTTTGGGTACTATGATTTCGTGATTTCTCCGTGTAGATGCTACAACTCCCTGTACTGCATGGAACCGTGATACATGTATGTGTGTACTCATGTCATATGGCCGTGCATTAGATTGTCCTGGACCAGTGCCTGTGGATTACTCCGGGCAAAACGCCAGTGGATGACTGCGTAAGTACCAGCAGCTCGTGGTGATTTTGTCCTTTGCAGGCGAGACTGGAAATTGGAGACTGTCGAGCACGCCCGCACCAAAATCGAGCTGAAGTCAAATTGTTTCGGAACAGTACATGTACATGTACAGTACCGATCGTGTGAGTAGATTTGTGACAGGGAATCACACAAACCCGGGTTTGTACGACCCCCTGATATATGACTCAGGGTCGACGTTGGCTTTAATACAAAAAAGTGTACGTGTAAGCCGCGTGCCGGTTGTCTGTAAACAAATTAAATAAAAAATTACCGGAAAATACTGTAAAAAAGAAGGTCAGCGTGCAACGCGTACATGCAATAGAAAATTATAAAATTAAAGGGGAAGTAAAGCCTAAAGTAAAATTTTCACCAGTTGTAGTCTTCGGGGTGCTGAGTCGAATGGTCTGGTCCGAGGAAGCTGA